GGGGGTGGAAGGAGTGGGTTGGTCCGATCGCAATTTCGCCTCCACTGTTCGAAAGAGGACAACAAGTTGAGTCGACTACAGAAAAATCCTGACTTTCCAAGCACTTAAAGTGCCAATTTTGGAGGTGTTACGGCCGGTTTTTTTCACCATCCACCACTCTAGAGGGTGCACAGCTCGTTAGGGGTGGCCAACGGCTTGCGCACTTCCTGAGCCTCGAGATAAATGATTGGGATGCCTGCATGCCAATTCTCAACTTCCTAGCTCAAAAAAAATAGAATCTACGTCAGTTTCAAAAATCCGCCCGCTAATTTTGAAGAGCAGTGTACATAGATAGATGCTAGGCGATACCCTACACACGCACTCACGCACATTCAGATACATATTGCTATTGCTTAGTAGAGTGGGTCGTGTAGGAAAAGGATTTTGGAAATTGAAAACGTAATGGTGCGGAAAAGTTGACCTGTCCGATAACAAAATTCAACGCGTTTTTATTTTTTGATATAGGATAATGTTTTCCGATCCCGCACAGCGTTGGAAGTTTTGTGTGCTTCTCTCAAAGAAAGTAGTAACTTAAAAGAATAAACTTGTGGGGTCTAAAGACCTGGCTACTCTTTTAGGCGCAGTGGACGGTGAAGGTACTTAATATCTTTTCTAATGATTTTATAACCTTTTTTTCTTTCAATAATGCTAATTTGTCACCTTATTTTCAGCTGCTACAAGTCATAAGATCTTGCTTCAGCTAGCATGCGCCAGTACAGAATGTTGCCAAAGGCCAGAAGAAGAAAAACTGGACTGCAAACAAATCAGATATCCAAAGGGGATTTGTTCACTCTGTTGAGGTAAGTGCTGATGTAGTTTAACAAAGTAATCTTAACTTAAGGCTGTTTTTGGGAGGCTTGTGAATAACTTAAAATTTTGTTCTTGTTTGCAGTCTGAAGTAAAGCTTGTCTTGAGATAGTCACCCCACCCATACCTCTGCAACCTATTGTGGTCTTGGTTATTGACGGAGAGCAGAGGCGAGCAGAGGCTTGTCTCTTCATCGGTTGTGGCCACAGATAACTTAAAGTATAGGGCAGATTCTCCTGTTCATGTTGTTCAAATGTGTTTTGAAATAACCCAAGCCCTTCATTTGGCATGTGCCAAAGAATGTGTGGCATTTCATTCAAGAGGCTGTCTATGACATATCAGGCACCTATGATGGAACTATTGCTAAGTTGTCTCCTCTAGTCAAAGATTATTCGAAGTGTCTTGTTTGAGCTGTATTCTATTTTTTTTTAGCACTGGAAGTGGTATTCTTAGGCTGTATCAGCTTAAGCGAGTGCTGTGCGACAGCACAGCAACAGCACGACAGCACTATGGCCCCGAACACCCGATTTTTCCAATAAATCCTTCATTTCCAATCAAAATAATCTCAAGGTACAAAATTATGTATTTTCCCGTATTTTCCGAATACAAAAAGTTGTGATTGCGTTCCCTCCGCTCGCTAGATGGCGCGCCCAACGCGCCCTGCCGTTCTGCCTACAGTCCTTCACATTTCCGATATAGTAGCGTTACACCTTTTGGTCTGTGCGCACGAAAACTCGAAAACGAATTGAACGAGCGACCTGGGATTTTCAGGGTCGTTTTGTGCCATAAAAAGACAGATCGAGTTCGAAGATGAGCATTCTAGCTCGAAAATTGGATTTTAAAAAAAAT